TCAACTCCCAGAATTCTTCAGCCAGTGTGCCTGGCTGAGGAATTCTGGGAGTTGAAGTCCACAAGTCATAAAAGGGCCAAGTTTGAAGACCCCTGATCTAGGAGAATCCTGATTATGGAACTCAGACATGGGAATTACAGCTGGCCTTTCCTCTGCCATATTTTAAATGACAACTGAAGCCATGCCTATTCACCCATACTCTTACTGAGTTACAGCTGTTATAAGAGCTACCTCTTTTTAGAATGCATTTGAAATGAACTTTGCTTTAAGGGTTATATTCTAGTTGTTTAGTTTTTATTAAAGATTGCATTGCTTTCTGGGAGGACGTGTAAAATGAGAATAAATAATGTAGATCATTGTCTTCATTAGGATTGTGGCAAGAAATGCAAGCAATACTTAGTAGTGTGGGAAGTCATCCCCCCCCCAACAGAGAAAGAAATATTTTTGGAAATATTTAAAAGGCAGAATAGATTTCCCTAAAGGATTTTAAAGGCAGACACCAACCCCCCCTCCCACAAGTCTCTCTGTCCCAAACAGAAACCAAGTTTGCAAAATGCAGGTGATAATCTTGTCAGAAAGACTGGAATCAGGAAACTGGGATTAGGAAGAAACATCCCTAGAATCAACACCAAAAATCTAAGAGTCATCAGCCCCAGCCCCAGGGAAGCAGGATATGACCCTTGGGATATAATAGGATTAACCCACCACCATCAGAATACCACAAAGGCACACTCAGACTCAGGTCAAAGTTCACGCCGTAGGAACAACTCCAAACAAAAGGCTCCAGAGGGTATAAAAACCCACTCCCTACATGTGCTCATTTTCTTTCCTTCCAGAGCCATCTTTCTGTCTGGCTCTCCTCTTCAATAAACTGCAACCTTCTTTCTAAAGCAGTCGCCATGTTGTTTATCCCCGGCTTGGACTGAACCATGATGAAGACTTTTCTTTCAACAGTAGGTTGGACTTCTTTCATCTACCAATAATCTGACAAGAACCCAGTGTTCCCTCAGAACCAGATTTACCACAGAATATAGCTGTTAGCACTGGATTTCACATGCTAGTGGATGCATAACCTAATTTATACTTGCTTTATTATCTAAGAGTACTTTGTTTAACCTCACAAGAATATTGAAGGTTGGTTGTGTGTATAGTGAATATAAACGTTGATCACTACATTGAGGTCTTGATCCCATCAGGAAAAGCCCTCACCTTCCATTATTCATGATACAATAGTCATCCCATTTCTAATGAAATGTATGTACTTTTTCCACTTTCCCTAATGAGAAAATAGTGCAGCAGAAGGAAAAAAAAAACCTTTTCAAATCCACAACATAGAACCTCTGTTATAACATGGATTAATTTATCCTCTTATTAACAGGTAATCTAATTCCTTGGAGGCCTTTCTCCCCCTGCTAAATTCAATTTAATCCTTCTCATATAAAATCAATTGTAATCAACCTGCCCTCCACCCCACAAGTAGGAACTTAGTGTCTTGTTCAAGGAGCTTTAAAATATTTTGGAGATGGTCCAATGCATTATCGATCATTTAACTTTTTCTACTCTGCTCTGATTAGTTAATTGGCGTTTTCTGGAACCCTCTTGGGTCTGCAAAAATATAAATATGTCAATTTTAGTTTTGTAAATCATGCTTTGGCCTGGAAAAAAAGAAAGGAGATTGGAAGCATTCTGTCTTACTTTAGCATGCATTGTAAAGCCTTATGAAACAAAAATCCTCATGATCTGGAAAAGACCATTGTTTCTTGTAGAGCATTGTACTAACCCTGGATTATATGCTAAAGAGAGAAAAAATCAATCCAAGGCATCCTTGAATACAGTCTGTTTGTTAATCTGTTTGAAAACCTTTTGAACTGATAAAATAGCAGCCGCAACAAAGAAGCAAGTATTCTCTCTGCTGAGTGTTGGCATAACCATAAATGACTTCTCCCTACCCACTGCATACGAAGAAAGGGAATTAGAGCACTGCTTGAAACTGTGGAAGACATGTGGTTCTTAAGGCAGAGAAGTTGTTTCCTGGCTGTCCCTTTGAGTTACTCTTATTGGTGTACCTAGGCAAGAAACATACACACACAAAAACAAAAAAGTAGCTTAGCTTGTGCATATCTCTTTTGAAAGGTACCTGGACTTTTCTTCATTTCTTTGTTTTTCAACCTGTTGCTTCAGTTCACTGTTTTAAAAAGTGGGTTTATGCTGCTTCAAAAATAAGAATTTCCACTACCTTCCTTGCCGGGTTAAACCAATTGCTATGCGATTGAGGGAGCACGTGGTACAAGCAGTCCTCGACTTAAGACCACAATTGAGCCCAAACATTTCTTTTGCTAAGCGAGATAGTTGTCAAGTGAGTTTGCCCCGTTTTATGACCATTCTTGCTACAGTTGTTAAGTGAATCACTGCAGTTGTTAAGTTGGTAACACGGTTCTTAAGTGAATCTGGCTACCCCATTGACTCTGCTTGTCAGGAGGTCGCAAAAAGGGATCACATAACCCCGGGACACTGCAACCGTCATAAATGTGAGTCAGTTACCAAACTGTCTGAATTTTAATCATGTGACCAAGCAGATGCTGAAATAGTTGTAAGTGTGAAAAATGATCATAAGTAACTTTTTTCAGTGCTCTTGTAACATTGAATGCTCACTAAAGCAATGGTTGTAAGTCTAGGGCAGGGGTAGGCATAGCTGGCTCAGGAATTCTGGGAGTTGAAGTCCACGAGTCATAAAAGAGCCAAGGTTGCCCACCCCTGGTCTAGGGCTACCTGTAATTCAAAGAATAAAAGTACTATATAAGCCAGGGGTCCCCAACCCCCAGGGGGGGCACCTACTGGGCCATGGCCTATTCAGAACCATGTCCCACTTGCGTACCGCCCTACCTCTCATGCGATTGAGGCTGTGCCCGTGCATGCATGCCAGCCCGCCACTTGTGCAGTTTGGTTCCCCTCTCCCTGCTCCCCAAGCTGGGCTGCAAATGTTGAGGACTGCTGGTGTAGGCAATTCATTCACAACTAATACATTCACAACTGGTTGTCTGAAAGTCCAATTGCTTCTGGTCGTTAATTCCCTATAACTTGAAACTTTGCTATATATTGTAGCTGTTATGTGGCATTATATGGGCAGCACTGCTGGTTTGGCCTTTGCATTTGGAAATTCTGAAAATTTTAACCTAACATTTTTTTTTGTTGTTGTTATCAGCCATTTCTACACAGTTGATTTATAGCATCTTACTGAGCAATCCAAACATCATTGTGGCAAGATATTAATAATGAAGACTTACTTTCTAGATGGTTGGCTCCATAAAATGCTATAAATCAACCACTTGGAAATAGCTAATGTGAAGATATGTTTGATTTGTTATGGGCACTTCCTATTCTTTCCTTCTTGCTTGTTCTCTCAGCCTGGTAAGTTAGAATGCCCATCAATGACTGGCTATGTCTTGTTAAAACAACTCTTACAATTTATAGCTTTGTCACATCTTGAATCTAATTGAATTTGCCTTCAACCAAGTGAAAATTATTAAGCAAATATCAGGGAATATTACGCATTTGAAAAATATAACAGTATATATAACTGCTGATCTTTCATTCTGAAGAGAAAATGTCAAGAATACAACATAGTTGTATGGCAATACTAATATTGGATGGGGACTTTTTCTTTTGAGCAAATCTAGTAATCCACTTAACTTTTAGGCAGTCCGCTGATATACATGCCACCTGATCCCTATGATTAGCAGTGCACCTCTGAACCTCATCTTGTCTACCTTCTTAGGAATTAAAAATGTCTATGTTTATTTATGTACGCCCAACTCAGTGAGCAGAACCTGCCCTTCTCAGGGAAGCTCCTAACACCATTAGAAGATAAGCAGTAAAATTAGGAAGCTATTTAAATCTCTTTGATCTGAAAGTGGAGTTATTGAACCTGAGTTGTGGCAATAATATCTCTGCCTCTGGAGGAACTTTGGTGCTTTCAAATAGCTCTGGAATGACAATTATATGGTCATTTCCCACACCCATTGTCTACAGCTCAGCTTCTCCTGAGATCATGATCTCTCTTAAGTCAAAAACTGATGATTTTAGGCCTGATGACATGTCCACCTTTGTCATAGTTCTGCTGCTTCACCAACCACGGTGTTAATTACTATGCTCACCGGCTGCTTCTGTCATTGGGGGGGTGGGTGGGCAGGGGAGAGGGAAGGCTCAGCAAGTTAGCACAAGTGAAAGGAAGTGAAGTGGAAATTAATTTTCTGAGCATGATTGGTGTTAGAACTAGCCCTGAGCAAATGAATTGGTTTGTGGGAAATGGATCTCATAGAGCTCAGTCATATTAAAGTATCAGGAAAAGACTGCTGCTTGCCCCTGCTTTTTAAAAGGCTCCTATTAGAGTTATTGTCAAGTGACAACATCGCTGGCTAGTTTGACAGAATGTGTTCTTTGTGGCTATCTTAAAAACATTTGCTAAAAGTAATTCTGTCTCTTGTGATTGAATTGTGAACGTAAGGCCTGTTTTGTCATCGTATGCCTGTCCAAAGACAGAATTATACATATCAACAAAGAGCACAACGGGTGCAGTCAGCTATTTTAGAGCTGATGAAATAATGGTACAAGGTTCTTGTTTTCAAAGAAGACTAGAATCACCAGAGTACAGAAGTACAGAACTTCTGGGCATCTGTCTTGGTGTGGACTGAGGGATACATGTTTCTGTCTCTTCTTATACCATTGAGCTTGCTAAGACCCAGGCTGCCTATGAAGTACTTAGCTCTGCTCGGCAAGGGAGTCTCAGTCCCATATCTGGATCATCAATATAAGGTGATAATTTCTGGTGCTTCCAGACCAGGATGGGATCTCCTTGTTTCTGCTATTTTCTTTGTCCCAGAAATAAATTGCACCTCTTTTGACAATAGGGGTTACTAGTTCAAATGGAGTACAGTAGCAATACTCTTTTTCTTAATTTTCCTCCCCAAAATGAATTTATTCCTTTCTTTTCTGTCTTATAGTTCCTTCCTTTTGGGGTTTGGTGAATTCAGCTTGGAATCTTTGCTCCGTTGGAAAACGGCAATCACCGGTCAATATAGAAACCAGCCATATGATCTTTGACCCCTTCCTTACCCCACTTCGGATAAACACAGGGGGTAGAAAGGTAAGGCTGTGGTTGTACTTTTAACTGTCAAAATAACAGATACATTTTTAAACTTTCTTTCTCTCTTTGTTCCTTCTCTTTCTTTCTTTCTTTCTTTCTTTCTTTTCATTTCCTATTTGTGCTGTCTTTCAATTGAAAATTTATATATATGTGTGTGTGTATGTGTGTGTGTGTAATTGTTATTAATGATTTTAAAAATGAAGATTAAAACAAATACAAACTAATATTTAGATATATCCTTCTGCCAGTATTTAAATGGTGCTTCAGTTGTCAAAACCAATATTGTCTGTAACAAAAACATCATTCTAGACAAGACATTCATTTTCATCACAGAAATTCTCTCCCGAACGACAGTTTTAAATTCTTTCATTTCAAAATATATATATTTAACTTCATTCCATATCTTAACATAGTTATTTTGAAATAACATATAGTTTCTCTTTGTATCTCTCCAGAATTCCTATTATCCAAACCTTGAACAGGAAAGCCCAGTTTTATGATTTTCAGAGACCTTCTCTGCATCTAAGAAAATTAATGTGGTTTTGTTTTTCATTAAATTGCTCTAAATATTCCAAAATGTCCATACATTTCTAACATTGTGCTTTAACATTCTTTTAAATAAAAATTCACATTGATTCTCATTAATAAATTCTTGCACAATTATTTTCAGTCGATCAGCTAGAATCATTATAAACAAGGTGTATCTATTTAATAATTATATTGGCCTACAGTTTCATGTTAAAGTCAAATCTTGACCCTTTTTCGGTATTAATGCTATATTGGCCAAGTTTCCAACTCACTAGCATCTTTCTTTCTAGTGGGATAGAGTTCATCCTGTTTTGTAAAGGTTATAAAAGTTCATGCTCAAAACATTTATAAAAAAAGTAAGATAATCCATCTGGTCCAGGTACCTTTTCTAGTTTAATCTTTCTTTAGTTTCACATACTACCCTCATTGTTACAGATTCATTCATAATCTGTCTCTGTTCTTCTGTAATCCTCACTAAAGGGATTTATTTCTTTAGATATTCATCTATTTTCTCTGGAGAGATGTCACTTCCTTTGTACAAATTGGAATAATATTTTAGTATATAGATAGTCCTTGACTTACAACCATTCATTTAATTACCGTTCAAAATTACAACAGCAGTAAAAAAAAAGGAACTTATGGCTGTTTTTCACACTGACAACTGTTGCAGTATCCCCATGGTCACGTGATCAAAATTCAGGGGCTTGGCAACTGGCATGTATTTATGACGGTTGCAACATCCTGGGGTTTTGCAATCACTATTTGTAGCCTTCTTCCAACAAGTCATCTTCCAACAAGTCAATGGGGGAAGCCAGGTTCACTTAACAATTGCATGATTCACTTAATAACCATTGATTTGCTTAACAATTGTGGCAAAAAAGATTGTCAAATGCAACTCAACTTTCTTGCTTAGCAACAGAAATTTGGGGCTCAATTGTGTTTGGAAGTTGTCAAAGCAACAGTTGGAGATGCAACCATTTTCTTCTTATGTTTTACTCTTAAAGTTAGAGTTAGTGTTAGATGATGCTGGGAGGAGGTGTATAAGAGTTTAGCTAGACATAACAATACTGGACCTAGTGTGTGAACCAAGGTTATTGAAATAAGAGATGATAAGAATTGACAGGTTGAAGAACTGGAGGGAAAGCCTACATTTCAAACTAATTGGAGAATGTGATTTATGACTGTTAATTGGAGGAAGGAATTGTGCTTTGATACTATGTGCCCAGGGGAGGGGAATTCAGTTTTTGGCTTCGACTGTGTTATTGCTGATGCTATGCTTCTCAAATAAAGATTTTTTATGGTAAACAATGCCTCAAAGTTCTTTGAAGAGTTTCATCTGTTGGAACACAGAAACTAATAGAAATTAAGGGGGGGGAGTAATCAAAAGAAAAGGAAAGGTGAAAAAAGAAAAAAGGTTAAAAAAATAGAAAAGAAAGAAAATATTAAGAAGTGGCTTCCAATATTCTTCACAGCAGTTTGATAAATCTGAATATATTTTAATCTCTTTCTCTAAAGTTACATTTTATTATCTTCTTTCTGTAATATATTCTATCTCATTATCAAACTTGTAAGTCACAAGTTCTTCTCCATTTTTATAATAAATGTAGATAATGTCTTTTCTGTAATCAAAGAAGTTAATTTATCTATTTCAGCAAAATCTTCCAATTTCACCTACCATTCTTCCATAGTGAGTGGTATTGACTCTTTCAAACTCTGCCCATACAGTAATTTTGCTGAAATAATCTTGCATGGTTTTTTCATAACTGTTAGAAATTGAATAATATTGATGAAATGCTTTTTGTAGGCTGCATTGTCCATTAATACTATTTACCCCTCTTATAATTTCTATATCATTTCTCTTCCATTTCTTTTTTAATTTATATGATAGCTACTTCCTTGATTTATTTGTAAAGTCAATTTTTTTTACTTTACATAATGTATTTTTATTTTAATTTCTTATTAACTTAGATAATTGCTAAAAAAAAGCTTAATTTACTGAGAAATATTTCTCTAGAAATTTAATTCTTATTTTCTCTATCTCATCTACACTTGCTGGTGTTTCTCTTGACTGTTCTTTTTAAGTTCACTATTAGGTTATATAAAACAAACTTTAATAAAGGCCTTACTTATATCTCAAATAATTTTTAAATCAATAAAAGGTAAATGGTAAAGGAGTCCCTGGGGATTTTATTCTGCTAGTGGTTGCCAAGTGTAGGGGACGGTGCTCATCTCCATTTCAAGGTTATTGAGCCAGCCCTGTCCAAAGACATTTCCGTGGCCATGTGGCCAGCTGTTACCCTCCCACCAAAATGGTACCTATTTATCTACTTGCATTTGCATGCTTTTGGACTAGGTTGGCAGGAGTTGGGGAGAGGATGGGAGCAAATCCCATCACATGGTGCATGGGTCTGGAACCTGGGCTATTGGCTTTCCAATCGACAGCACAGCATCTTAACCGCTGAGCTACCGCGCCACCCCTTTTAAATCAGTACTTTTACCTAAATCATTTTTAAAAAGTTCTTTTAATTTCTGTTTACAATTCTCCTGTATTATTTCTTTCTGTAGCAATATTTTCTTTAGTCTCCAACTAAAAGAATCTTTTTCTAAACCAAAACTCACAGGATAATGACCCCAAAAAAGTGTTTGGTATTATCTCTACTTAAGAAACCTTAGTAGTTAAGTTATTTGAAATACAAATCATGTCTATCATAGAACAAGATACACAACAAATTCCACTTAAAAATGATACGAATAAAGCCTTAGATAGGAACATGCCATTAGATGCAAAGAAAAAGTATGTAAATTCTTAAAAATGAAGAATGTTAATTCTTAAAAATTAAGAACAGAAATAAAAAAATAACTGTAGAGAATAATGGGAATAATTCTATTTTTTTATTTACAAATGAGACTGTTTAAAGTATGGAAGAAAATTGTAACAATGATCAATACTAGTGGAATGGATCACTGATTAATTTGTATTATTTTTTTTTAAAGGGAAGATAAAATTAACTGGTTTTAATCCTGGTTAAAATGGAATGTGTTATTCTGTGTGGTTCTTTTTGGATTTATAATATTTTGACTGGAGAAATGTGACATGTTAGATTTTCTTATTTGGTGTTTAAGTTTTTTGCTTTACAGATATTTTTTCTATTCTAATTGTTGAGTATCTAAATACTTAGTATCTTATTGTGATTTTTTTTTTCAAAGGAGAAACTACCTCTGTTAGTTTAACTTTTAGTCACTTTATGTTAAATTGTTAGGATTATTTTATATTTATGACTAGTTTTAAGCTGAGATGTAAAATATTTATTTGAATGGAATATGTTCCTATTTGGGATAGTTATTTATGGAATAGTTGGTGTTTGGGATGGATTGAATATTAGAATTTGTCTTTTTTTTAAGAAAAAAGAACTCTGTTATGTTAAATCTTAAGTTTGGTTTGTTTCTAGAATGGGATCTTTTTATGCCTTTTAAATGGGATTTTGCTAAGGTGACCAACCATCCTCCTTTAGGGAGGACAGTCCTCCTTTTGTAAGTTCTGTCCTCCCTCGAAAAGTTTCCTCCTACATGTCCTCCTTTTCGAAATTTGAAGACTAATCTGCAGAGCTTTTTTTTTCTCTCATAGAACGCTCAGAATGGCGTTCCGGCACCTTTTTTTTTTTTTTTTTTTTAAAAGAATTTTTATTATTTTCAAATATAACAAAGTATAAACATAAACTTGATGCATATAAATACAAAACATCAGTACACAAAAGAAAAAATACTTTACGGGTGATCCCGGCTGTCCCCTCTCCGCTTCCCCCTCTTTCACATACCACCTTCCTCCCACTATACTCTCAACCACTCCACCTTCCTCCTTCCACCTTTTTTTGATGGGGTTTTTTTCAGCTTTTGCATGAGCTGTGCTACTCCCCCTATTGGCTTTCAAAAGCCAATAGGAATTGCTGCTGAGCACGCCAAAACACCCGGCTGGCAAACTTTGCACATGCAAGTTGTCTGTATTATTGTTGCAATGAATAAAATGTTTCTTTTATTTACGATATTTTTTTCTTCAATTTATTTGTGTCCTCCTTTTCATTGTAAAAAAGTTGGTCACCTTAATTTTGCCTATGACTGAAAGTTAAGATTAGAAAAGTTGTGAATGTAAATGAAGCTGGGGGAATACACTAATCAGTTCCCTTGACTTCTACATTAATATAGTAAGGGCAGTACCATTTGCTGGCCCCAATTATGTTATAGAAGAGGGATCTGCAATGAAGATAACACAGTTATGCTTTTTTGTTGTTGTTATTCACCCAAAGGCTGGAGGTTTGTACATTAAAGTGACTGTCTGCTTTTGCCCTGTAATTTCAGGCCCCATAATGACCCATACCTAATAACTGCAAGCTGACTATTAGCAATTCAGTTTTTCTCCTTCCATTTCCTATCCTGGGATTTCCCATGTTCAGAAAAGTAGGAGCAAACAAAAGTAC